TTTAAACTTCCCAGGAAATCACGGAATTCAAACATTTAATTCGTTTATCTTTTCCAAAATTAGACATTTTTCTTTGACAAATTGAGAATACAGCTTTATTCAGTAATAACATATCGATTAACTGTGTTTTGAATAAAAACGTAAATTAAGATTTTTTCCGCAAAACGAGTGATTGAAATACCAAATTCTTTACTGTATACAAATTTATTGTAATTATATATATATATTTTTTATATAAAATATAAGAATACTCTTCATTTGTAAGCAATTATTATTTTTTAAACATTTTAAAAAACAATGAAAATTTTTAATTTGTCTGACACAATTTTCAGTTAAAATGATCAAGATCTTTATACGTAAATATTCCGGGTTATAAAAAAGTTCTTTTTAGCATTCTCAATAGAAGAAGAATTTATTGTTCCTCGTAATTAAAACTGATAAATTATCGAATTACTGTAAAAGATGAGCATCGGTTCCATTCTGGTTTTAATCTGTTTTTTAAATATACTTATTATATCCCTTGTGTATGTGTGTGATTCCTGGGATTTATTTCCTGTAACGGAATCACTTTTAACTCGTAATCTGGAAAAAATTAAGTTTTAAAAAGGAGAAATTTCATCTGGACTCATTTTTTCCAATTTTTTATTTATATACCAAATACATTTAATCTAAAAACGAACTACCGTAAAATCTGGCGTATAACGCGCACTTTTAACACAAAAAACAAGATCGAAATTTAGGGGTGCGCGTTATACGCCGAGTATAAAAATGAGAGCTTTAAAAAAATGAGTAGTAAAACAAATTTAGACTTACATATCAAAATTCTGTTTATTTAAAAGAAATAACATACCTTATAAACTTTCATTGTTGGATTACATGAAAAGGCATTATTTTTTTACCATTTTAAGGTATCCGACTACGTTCAGAACCGTGATTTTGCAAAAGCGCATAAATGGATACTTTTCATGATATTTAGTGTCATATAGATTAGAATACATGTATAAAATTGTTTTAATGACATTTTGACAAAAAAAATTATTTAAATACAATATTTTGGCAAAAAATGAACTTAGAATAATTTTTTTCAAAATGTTCTCCTTTTGTGAAAAATGCTTCTATTATAATAATATTTTGCCAGTATATAGCTCAGACCTCTGTACAAAGGCTCAACTAGAATTTTTGAAATATATAGCTTAGAAGTGGGTTTATCCATATTTTACGACAACAGAGGAGTGCAATTTTAAGAAAAAAAACGCCAATAATTATTTCAATTGGTGGTAACTCTGAAAATAATGTGAATTTTTCAAAAATTCTAGTTGAGCCTCTGTAGAAAAGTTTCTGAGCTATATACTGGCAAAATATTATTATAATAGAAGCATTTTTCACAAAAGGAGAACATTTTGAAAAATGATTATTCTAAGTTAATTTTTTGCCAAAATATTGTATTTAAATAAAAAATTTTTGTCAAAATGTCCTTAAAACAATTTTATGCATGTATTTTAATCTAAGTGACACTAAGTATCATGAAAATTATTCATTTATGCGCTTTTGCAAAATCACGGTTCCGAACATAGTCGGATACCTTAAGACGAATAAACGTACACTGTTTCTTGTTACAATTAATCCATTCAGGCGATTTTCTAGGACCCAGTTCGCAACACTTTCTCCTAAAATAGACCAATTCGTTACTCCTTTACTTAAAGCACATTTCTTCTATGACATGTTAGTTACGGTCATTTCATTTCTTTTTTTTTTCCCCGCTCCCTTATGGAGCTTTCGCCACAATATCAAACATCCTTGCTGCAGTACAAAATTTCTATTTTCTTTTCAAACTAAATCACTTGGATCTTGAAACTGGTAATGTGTTTTGCTTCGTTAACCAGGACCCAACTTTACTGTTCGCTTTTTGAAGCGTATTCAATAGTATTCATAGTATTGAATATACTACAGGCCGCGAACGTAATCAGACTGGCTTGTTCTAACTTATTTCAAAATTAATCATCCGTGTCGTACATCACATGAAAGAAGAAAAAGGAATCAATGTTTATAGAAAAACGTGGGGAAAAAAACCACCCAATCAATGTTTATAGAAAAGCGGGGGAAAAAACCCCCCCAGGGCGCTGTTCGGGTCCCCCCCCCCCTCCCTTCTTGCGCTTAAGGGTTGTATAATTCTAGAGGTATACTATTTTTTCCAAAAGAGAGTCTATGGAAAAATTCATCCAATAAATAATGACTTCAAAACATAAGAAAACTGCACACGTGCATTTCAACTTTTTTCGTAAAAAAGGGTCTGCGCGTTATACGGCGAACATACCTAAAAATTAAAAAATATAGCTTGAAAGTATAGGTGCGTGTTATAGGCCGGATTTTACGGTAAGTATTCTTTACATTGAAATTACTCAAATGTTAAATGCTCAAAATTCATGCATAACCATCCAGCTTACATTTTACTGAGCGGATACTTCTAAGTGAACAAAATGCAATCCGTTTTTTTAATGAATCCCCTTATTTTTATTTTTTTGAGAGAAGTCTAAGATAAATATTATTAAAATTAATAGATGTAACATATTAATTCAAGTAATACAAATAATCATTCTTCCCAATTTTGTGTTAGAGAAATCAGGTAACATTCGTTTCTATGTAACAGACTTTGAATGCTTTCCATGAAAATAAATTAAAAGAAAAATAGCTCTTCTTAGATGCTAAAACAACTTGTTAATATTCATGTCAATTTCCTTTATAACAATGTATTGCTTTTTTCTCACTCTTACCAAAGTTAGCGTGAAAATATTTGTCTAGATTTTCCCCATTTACTTTCAAAATATTTTAAGTTTTGCATAGTTTGAAATAAAAATATACTAACTACGTTTTGAATATTTGGGAAAACTCTCAAATTATGAATAATGTAGCCATTTAATTTTACAATTTTAAAACATTATATCAGGCAATGTGTAATTTAAAAATAACTATGAGTTATATCTTATATCACTTCCTTCAAAACTTATTTGTGAACAATAATCAATATTGAACTGCTAAAAAAATTGAACATGAAAATAACAAGCATATAAAAGTTGCAAAATCTTTCAAAAATTTGCATTTATTTTTAAAATCTGGAGTGGTTATTGTATGCTTGTAATCAAAATTCAAGAATAAAAATTATTATTTTCACATAAATTAGATAGTCTTAAACATGATTTTTTTTAGATGTGCTAATGATTGTAAAGAATACTGCATGATACATTGCGGAAAATTTATATATTTGATGTGGACAACTCAAACTCACAGAGATAAATTTAAAAATTGTAAAATAATTTTACAAATCTCTGAAAGCCTACTGTTGAATAACAAACAGTGCCAGTGAACTTTTCAATGAATCTGAAATTGAATTAACGTACAAAATTCATTAAATTCATTTTATGGCCGAGAACTTACATGTTGATTTATCCCCAAAATTAAATTATGTACTTAAGTACAACTAGATTTTCATAACATTTTTTTGGCGTATAACAATTATATAGAAACGAGAATCAGCAATAGTATAATCCAGGAGTGTTCAAATAGCGGAGGGACAAAGAGCTTTTTGGTAGCCGGCCAATACAATCAAGAAACCAAATATAGAGAAAATGTTTTCTATATTATCTATACATATATAGGTTCTACATATGTTTGTGAGCAAAGCTTTTCTTGTATAACGATCAACAAGAGTAAACATAGATGCAAGTTAGCTGAAATTAAGTTGATGAAAATTTTCAACAAGCAATCTCACTCCTGGTTTTAATAAAATTGTAGAAAAGTGTGATAGGATATATTTGTCCCTTTAAACTGATTTTAAAATTAAACATGCTAGCAGGTATTGATGATAGCACTTTAAAAAAATTAAATAAAACTATCATTATTTTTCAGTTCCTGCTATTAGTTCACTCTCTCCCTGTATACATATATATATATATATATTCAGAAATATTGTTATTAATTATATACAACACATTAAATTTCTAGTGTCTAAAAAATTAGAAATAATGAATAACTATAAGCATTTTACTAAATATCGCTTAAATCAGAAATACCCAATTAATGTTATTAATAGTTATATGAATAAAGCTATTCGAAATAGTAAGGATTAAAAATTCTTAGAATAATAATAGTTTATTACTATAAATTTATCATATTTCCTAGTTATAGTTACCTCCATATTCTAATATTAGATAAAATTACTTATTATTATTTAATTCATATATACTCTAGTGTCACTAAAGTTATGTGGTAATTTGTAACTCTCTTTTTAATTTTTATTACTATTCTTTTTATACTTTTGTTAAGTGCTACATTTCAGCCATTCACATGCTTTGAATCTGCATTAGGGTCCAGAATCTGGCAATAACATATTTACTGCACTCAGATTTAGCGCGGGCTCCGCATTTTTAAGTGCCATTTTTAGGTAAGTTACCTCTATCTTGTAATGGATTTAGATATTCCTATCCAATACTTTCAATTGGTTTTTGCTCAGTATTATTAACATAAAGGGAGAATGTTGGCTGGCCATAAAACATGTTCAACCCCACTTTTATATAAATTATTATATATATTAGCTGTCCTAAGTCAGAAATGTTTATAATACTGTAGCATTCATTTTATAATTTTTAATTTCGGTTGCTCATGTGTCCTTCATTGTGTGATTTTCCTACTGTCTATGTGTTTTTCGAATGTGATTGATGGATTTTTATCTCTCGCTTATAGAGAATTAGACTATATATATATTATGTGTGTGTGTAGTCTAATTCTATATATATCTTGTTCAAATTTTCAATCGTTAATAAAATACTTTCTATTCATCCATTCAAGTTCAAATACATTTTTTAAACTTGTAGTGGATGACACTTAATGTTAATACAGTTTTTTCAAATATTTATTCATTAATTAAATTTTTAAAAAATGAATAAAAAGTAAGAAACAGAAATAATAGTCCAATAGCATATATAGAAAAGAAAATCGCTCGTTGTGTTCCTGTAGTGCAGTGGATAGCACGATGGACATCTAATCCATAGGTCATAGGTTCGAATCTCATCTGGATTGGCCTAATTCCTGAGAATGTCATTTCTTTTTTACTATACTATTTTATTAGAATAATTAAATTTAATTAATGAATAAATAATAACAAACAAAAAATAGCCCAATACCATATATAGAAAGGAAAATTGCAAGGAAAATCGCTTTCTATTTTGTCACTTAATACTGTGATTCTATCATATGAATATACATATATTTATATTAATTGTAACTATTTAATAAAAGTAACTAAAATAAAATTTTCTATATTGACCTAAATAGGAATTGAATTAAAATAATTTATATTACTTGTTAACTATATTTATTGAATTTTATGGTACAATTTATACCTTTTATGAGTTACGCAATTGTAACTGATAATGGAATCATTTTTAAAAGGGCCCACCGGCATCCTCCATTCCACTTTGGCCCCTCTAGCCAAAACAATTACCCACCCCTGGCATAATCAAACCTTTATTTTGAAAATATAGGGGGGGGGGGTCTACATTTATTCTTAAAAATTTGTCTATTTATATATATACACTAGTTAGAATGAATATTTTGTAACAGCATAAGTGACAAAATTTTAATTTACTTAACTAGTTTATAAAAGTGGAATACATACACGTGATTAACTTAATTTAATGTATTTTTAAAAACTTTCTACATGTAATGTCCTTCAAACATCATTCAGGATTTCGGATATAGTGATTTGTTGCAGCATATTTTAGCTAAAATTCTCTCTACTTAATCGACGCGCAAAACAAAAGACTTCCAAACGCCTTCAGTATGTTTGGAAGGAACTCTAATTAAGGAAATGACCGAATCATCATCTTGAGGCTATTTGCATAACATCATATTGGATTTGTGTTTGGTTTTCTCCTTAATGGGTTCTCAAGACTGGCCTTTTAAAGAATTGAGTCCACTTTAACTTATAAAAGATACTAAGTGAACGAATAAATAGGGTTACGCCAGTCTGAAATTATCCTTCAATTCACAAGTCATAGCCAATCTCTAACTAAACAATTTAGATATTCTCTGTGACAGTACTTGGCATAAATTAAAAATTTAAGTTCTTCAACTTCCTAAATTAGGAACTACTACTCAAAGGTTTCAAACTTTATAAATTTTCGATTAATATTTACCATCTTAATCAATTTGATCTCTGTCTGATGAAAAGTGAGATTTTTCACTTGCAATTCGTAGGGGAATTTGATCAGATCAGAACCAATCGCATTCTTATTAACTTGAATTAAATGTGTGTCAAGTCTTAATACTTTCCTGGTTCATTTACTCTTTTCTATTCTAGATAATATATGGATTACATTCAATCAAATTTAAGCTCTCTTTAACGCAAAAATTAAAACTAAAATAGATAACTTGAGATAGAACATATATTTCACATGTTAAATGGAAAGCTTTCAAAGATTAGTGAAGTTTATTTCCTTAAAAAATTAACAACTAACTTGGGTATGTGTGTGTGTTATTTAGAGAATTTATTTGGTAATAAACTATCAGTGTTTGACTTTTTAGATTCATTTTAGCTATTGGTTATGATACTACATTCGAATGGCAATTTCAGTCGAAAAATACTTTTTTTTTATCTTTCCATTTCTATAAATTATTTGAATAAATTACTTCTAGATTCTCATCTGAGTAAATTTCAATTTATTTCCAACTAACATATTTATCGTTATCGTGTCGAAAAGGAATAACTTTTTCCTTTTTTCAATTATAAAAATGAAAACAAACAAAAACATTACCAATGCAGTACCACCAACTAGAAAATTCTGTTCGATGTGAATAAAGTTACTTTTAAAAAAACTTAAACTTTATCAAATGTTCCTTATTATTTCAACTGAAGTCAAAGGTATTCTGTATAAAAAAATCCAGTCCCAAAACACTATACGCTTAGTTCTTAAATCTTCCGTTTTACTCGTAGCATTAGGAACTGACCTGAATAAAATCGACTTAATGGATTTTGGATTCTGTGATTTCAACACATATAATTATTTGTTTTAATATATAATTTAATATAATTTACCTAACTATTAACCATCCGTTAGGCGTGTGAATCTCTCAGATGAATAGTAAGAACAGTTTCGGTGTACTTTACACGTGCTGGATTAGAACACACTCCTCCTTTTATCTGCCCTTCTCAGATTTTTTTGGGATTCAGTGTCAAGGACGAGGTCAGATATTTCAGGCGGCAAGCGCCATTGAATCTGATAGATCAAGAAAGATATGATGAAATGATATATGATCTAAGAAATCAAATATAATTTTTTTAGCCTAAATTATTCTTTATATAATTTTCTATAACCTCACAAAATTTGTGAAAGCTCTAAACTTAAAAAAAAATTTGGAATTATGATAGCTTTTATGTTCGTTTTTATTCACATTTCTATGGCAAATCAAAACTTTAAACTGACTTATCTCAGAAAGATAAAATAACTAGTTTGTCTTCATTTAAAACGCTAAGGCTTTTTTTTCTATTGTGTCTAATGCTTTAAATTTTTTTTACCTATTGTTAATAGTACATGTTACAAAAGATGGTATCCATTTTTGAATCAAAGCTTATTTTTTTTAAATTAATTGAACTTAGAATTTGTACATTTCTTAAGGAATTTTCAATAAGCATTCAAAAAAGGTAAAATTGTACAAATACCAATCATGCTACCGCAAAACCCATACCACCTTTTGTTATACATAGTTTGATGTACTTGTAAATTAAATTTCATGCATGTACATAAATTTTTGTAGGAGGAGTAGCATTTTAAAATCACTTCACAACTTTACAGTTTCTTCCTTAAAAAATTAAATGGCTAGCTTTTTACGAAATTTTCAGCACAAAATCCGATTTACATAGTACACACACATAAAAGGCAACGAAAAAATTTTTGAAAATCCTTAAATTAAATTTTTTTGCGTAAATCGTACCATGTCCCCTTAATTTTGATTTTTTTCCTTGTAAAATAATGTAGTTTTCAGTTTTATACGAAAAAAAATCCATGTCCCTTGAACATTGTTTGGTGATTCGTAAAGACTGGAATAAAGCATCTTAAAATGTAAACTGTGGTAACACGGTGATAACTAACCACTATCTTGCGGTGTGTTTTCTTATAAATATCTCAATTCCTGATTCTATTTTAAATATTATTTTATGACAAATGTATTTTAATGGTAAATCTCACCAAAAAAGTGATTAAATCATCTTCAAACGTAAGTATGAGGTAATGCATCTGAGATACCGCGCGCCTATGGACAGAACTTTTTGAAGCGCGTCTAGCGAAGGGTAAATATTAGAGAATAAAAATGCAACTCAGAACAATTTTTAGACAAAAAAAGTATCCCAATGCTAATGCAAGCTCGTAGATTTACAATACATATAACTTTTTAACGTATTACATTGTAAAAATTTTGAAACTTTCAACAAATAGGCCATTTTGCCCTTTTTAAGGTAAAAAAAAAAAAAACATCCGATACGTTCGGAAGAATGATTTTGAAAAAGTGTATAGATCAGCGTTTCTCAAACTGTGGGGCGCACCCCCTTTGGGGGCCGTGACAACTCTACGAGGGGGGCGCGAGCATATTGAAAAGTCGGAAACAAAATTTTATTTAATTAAATTTTTTTGTTAACTTTCAGTACTTTAATAAATACATTCTGACAATGAAAAATAAAATACACACACATTTAAACTGATATATTACACTTATAAATGTATCAGTGCTACACACACAATGTATTTTATAATTAATTCAAAGTTAAGAACAAGTTCAATAATTGCCAATAACCCTATAGGCTTGTCATGTATAAAATTATATGTGCAAAGATTAACACTTATCTTGACAATTTTTTTTGTACTGTTTATAATTAATCCCTTAACTGTCGATTAAAAGTTACGCGATTCGCTCCCAATATCAACCGTTTTCCACGTAAGCGCGCGTATGCGATATATTGGGGGGGGGGGGGG